TATGCGCTTATCGCGTTGCCGTTGCCGTTGCCAGTTGCCGGCCTTAGCACGTTGTCAAGTGTTTATCTTGGCCCCGGACCCGAACTGGTACCAGTACCCTCATCTCATCTCATCGCATCTCAGCCAACACAAAACCAGATCCCGAACGGAGCCAGACCGAAATGAAATACCAAAAAGCTTAAAATTGAATTTATGGCTGCACCTAAATCATGTGTCCACGAAAAAATACAACAAACAAGAAAGAAAGCTAACTTCGGCACGCCGAAGTTTATATACCCTTGCAGATAGAACTTCTATGAATAGGAATCCATACAATATAAATTATATATATTTGTGTTAAAAAACAATGAATAATAATACCTGCTTTCATTTCATTCACCTATACATATTATATTTGCAGTTTTACATTCACAGATTTGCATTTTTCCTCTACATCAAACGATCGTTTGTATGGCACCTATAAGATATAGTCGTTCGATTTTCATAAAATTTGACAAAAAATTTAAGACTAATATAAAATAGCTATACCTTAAATTTGATGAAAATCAGCTGAAAACTAAAAAAGTTATAAATTTAATTGTATTAATTTCTCGATCGTTCCTATGGGAGCTATATGATATATTGGTCCGATTTTCATAAAATTTTACACAAAATTGTAGAGTATAGTAAAATGGCTATATCTTAAATTTGATCCAATTCTATTGAAAACTGAAAAAGTTAAAAATATTTTTGTAAAAATTTTACGATCATTCCTATGGCAGCTATATGATATAGTCGTCCGATCCGGCCCGTTCCGACATATATACGAGTGAGAGTATATAGAAGGCTAACTACAAAGTTTCATTCAGATAGCTTCAAAACTGAGAGACTAGTTTGCGTAGAAACGGACAGACGGACAGACGGACAGACGGACAGAAGGACAGACGGACAGACGGACAGACGGACAGACGGACATGGCTAGATCGACTGGGCTGTTGATCCTGATCAAGAATATATATACTTTATATAGTCGGAGGTGCCTCCTTCACTGCGTTGCAAACTTCTGACTGAAATTATAATACCCTGCAAGGGTATAAAAATAAAAGCGAAGCAGAAACAACTCACGAATATGCGAGTGTTTTCGGGCCTGTCGCATGATTTAGTGGCGGCAGTCGAGAAATTTAAATAATAAATATTCCATAGTTACACAAAACACAAAAGCCAGAAAAATGGAGGCCCAAAATCCAGGCCCAAACCCGACCCAAAACCCAATTTCGGAATCGAAAAATCAAAAGCGATTCGTGTAAAATATTCAAAGCGAGCGCGACTAAATCAAAAAAACGCTGTCGAAATAAAACGTTTGAAAATTGAATTTCGCTCCAGCGAAATTGAAAAGCATTAGTAACGGAAATGAAAATCGTTTTGAGGGTGGAAACGAACAAAACACAATGACTCCCCGACTCTGAATTTAAATTAAGAAATTTATCTTTTCTTGTGAGTGTGTTGTGTGTGCCACGCCCTCGCCTTTGTTGTAAAAGTTGTTGATTTTTTATTTGTCGAGCATCTCCCACCTTTTTTTTGGACATAAAAACAAATGAATTCGGTTTCTTTTTGTTTTGGCAAGCGTTTTCGCCTTATCTCGTTTTTTTGGGGGTTCTAAGATTGAAACTTGATATTCCATATTTTCTAATCTTTTGTTTTCTTAAATTTTGATATTTATTTGCTTTGAATAAAAACGAGTCTCTCATGAAGTTATTAATTAGTCAGCGAAATATATTTAATCTCGGCATTTTGCACCTCTTCTGAGCAATTTGTACTCGAGCGGAGAGAGCAACGATTTTAAGCGGTTTCCAAATGGCTTTTATGGCCGACTTCATGGCTAATAAAAATTTGCATTGTTCGGGTCCGCAAAAAAGCAATATATGTATATATAAACCAGACCAAGACCGCGGCTTTCATAAATTAGCTGCCCAACTGCCAAGGGAATTAGCATACGAAATTACGCTGCTTAAAGATAAATACCTTAAATTGGTTGTTATTTAGAAGACCATAACATAAATTCGAAAAGCAAATAATGCCATTTGTCAATGGGATTACGAATTGGGAGCTGCAATATATCCACAGTTTTTATTACCTTAAAAAAACAGAGTCGATTTTTGGCAATTTGTCGATCAAGGTAATGAAATCACGTGTTAATGGGGAGTATATCACTGTAAAAGATACTTTGAATGCATTAAAAATTAAATACAGATTAGGGATTTTAATCTCTTTGAAGTCAACCTTGAATTACCTTTGAAAAAAATTTAAATATTTATATAGTTTACTTAACAATAAGACTTTAATCTACCTATTCCTCCGCCCATTTAACACTTTCCATTTAATTTTCAATTGCAGAGCATATAAATCGTCCTGTCATCCTTTATCCACCCCAGGACATGTACCACTCACCATTTTGGACTCATTAAAAATTCCAAACGCATCGAGGTGAGTGTCCATGAACATATAATATTGTATGTGTATGTCATGTACATTATTTATAGCTGCTTCGGAGTTTGTGTAATCAAAACTGGGATTTTGGACAATGTGTCCAGTGTCCAGTGACCAATGCTCAGTGTCCAGTGGGTAAGTGTGTCAGTAGGACCTTCGCTGGAAGGGTGCAAAAGGATTCGAGTATTTGGGCCAGTTGGACAGAGCCCTTGGGCCAATTTTGTGCCATGTGTGTGCGACGTGTGTCCCTTTTGCCAAAGTAAAAGGCCAAAACAGAGGGCGAAAAACCAGATACAGATATGGTTCCACTTCCAGGACTGACCAACGGCCAATGACCGGAGCCAGGAGCCAGGACTTGAGTCTGAGGCCTCAGCTCATTTGCATTTCCAGGAGCTGGGACAGGGAAAGTGTTTTCCAAATTGCCACTCTCTATCTGCTCTGCTCTAAATTCGTGTTTTCTTTTTTTAATTTCATTTGCCGGCTGGCTGGTGTGTTGGTTTTTCTAATTAACAAAAGAATTTTCCATTTGGTGAGTTTCGTTTTTCTCGTTCTCTCGTTTTTTTTTTCAGTTGTTATTTATAGTTTTTGATGCCCCGACCTTTTGACCGTCTATTGGTGGCTGAATTATGCCCAAATAGCGATAGCCATCTAATTAAATGAGTTATGGAACCGGCATAATGCCAAGTATCTCGCTCTCGGATAAGCGTCCGCCTGCCGCCTAATCTCGCCCCCCAGGCCAAAACTCAAAGTGCCAACCCCCAAAACCCAAAATTCCCGACCCATTCCAGAGATAGATAGTGAAGTCCGGGCCAACTCTGGGCTCGTGGGGGATTTATGAGATCGCATTTTGCATAGTTTGAAATGGCACACAGTCCAAACTTGGACACAATTCATTTTCCCCGGCCACAAATCTCTCGTTTTGCATTCGGCGGTCATGAATCATGGACTGGCATTGCCTTTGGGTCTGGGGAAAGCACTTGGAAAATGTTTTAAAACCTTACCATGGGTATGTGTAAAGGAAATTTAAATATTTTGAATATCCTTTTAGAATAAAATTGTAACGATTTTTGAAGGTTTTCATAAGATTAAAAGGTTGCTTTATATAAAATACAAATCTATTGAACTTGAAAACCTTTTCTAGTGTTTTCTGAACATCCTGCCTTTAAAAATCATTTAAAATATACAGCTAATCAATAAATGATTATAAATATGACATAACCAAATGCCTGACAATCTGATTTAATAGATAAATATTTCTTAAATGGTTTTAAAATGTCATAACTGAAAATTATTTTCACATATTTTGCAACTCTTTCCAGTTAATTTGAAATACCCTTTTATTGTTGTAAATAAACCCAAACCCACTGTACTTAACCCGTTAAATGCAAAAGCCAGTTTCGGGTTGCCGTGAATGGCATTGGAATTTATGCACATTTTATTGACCAGCTTGGAGGCAGAAAAGAACAACGGAGCAACGGAGAGTTGAGAGTTGTTTGTTGGCCCAGCAACATGTCCGAAAGTGTTTTATGGCCATACTGGGCGCTCGAGTGGCCATTTTGGGGCCGATCCGGGATGGATCAGAGGGGTATATGTATGTGCATACATATATTCCGCCTGCACATGCACTCTCCGGGACTTGTCCGACAAGCACTTCTCCACTTCTGAATACAGATGAGGATGGGCCGGCAGCAGGAGATGAGTGGCGTACTAAATACTAAACACCCGCCCTGATTTATGGCCACTGAAAAACTAGCAACTAAAGCCGGCTTTAAGCTAAGTGAATTAGATTAAATACAAAGTCAACGAACTGCAGTTCAAAGTCAAAAAGTCAATTAGACGTCGTCTATATACTATAGACTGTAGTCTGTAGTCTGTAGCCTCTAAAGTGGAGTGGAAATCTCGTTAAAAGCCAATAACAGACGCCATTAAATGTGCATGAAAATTAAATGAAGGAAGAAAAGCCACGCGACCACTTGAACTTGAGCGGGAATATCAATTTGGTGTGCAGTAATTTGAACTGACCTCGCCGTTTCAGGGCAAGTTCAATGGCATTCGGGTATACAGCAAAAAAATGGGGGAATGTGTATCGAGAAGTGAGAAATGAGAAAGGGGGGTAAAGGGGATCAAAGACCACCATATGAGATAAGAGAATTCCGATAAGTTTAATTTATTCGAACCCTCAGCCATATGTTGCAAAGTATGAGGAAAGCAACACTTATTCAATCAACGCGATAGGCGTGTGCCCAAAACTAATTATAAATCCGTACATAAAAAATATTAAATTATGCTGGCTTTTTTAATTTAAAAACAAAGAGGAAAATGGTGGAGTTTGTGGGATAATTAAGTACTATTAGGGATAAATAGCTTTAATTACCTATTAATAAGGATGATAGATGAGGGACCTCTACAAGGCTTAGGAAAAATTTTTTTCAACTTCAAAAAGCATCTAAAAACTGCTTAGAAAACCCCTTTCAAGTAATCCCTGCCTGAAAAGTCATCCCAAATGTCATGTGTCGGATGTGTGTAACCCCAAATCCTCAGTACTGTTTACGTGCTCAAACGGTGAGGTCAAATACTTCCTCCTACCAGCTCCAAAATTTCAAAATTTTTTCAGTTCACTTTTAAAAACTACCCTAAATACACTCTTATCGTTATGAATCGCGTTCTGGAGGATGTGATCCGCCAGAATTCTACAATGGTGGATCGCATCACCGTGGAGCATACTCATGGCTATGTGGTTTCCGATAACATGGCCAATGCGGTGGCCGAGTCCTCGTTTGATAATACCAGTGCCCAGGCGATAGTTAAGCATGTTAATGGACTCTTGGTTGGCACCTGCCAGAGCCTGGTGCGGGACATTGATCCTGCGAACAGGCTGTGCTTCCTGAGGCTGGCCACCCGCAAGTTTGAGTATCTGGTAGCACCGGAGGAGTATTTCACCATCACCGTCGTTCAATAACAAGTTAACACAAGTTGCCAGTAAGCTCTGCTGATAACCTATAATAATATTCTCTGATAACTCTTATTTTAGGTTTCTCAAGAGCACATTTATTTAGACAAGATTTCGGTAAGTATTTGTGGTAACCTTTGGACTTCTCTTTAGTAATTATTTTTGTAACTTCTTTAAGAAAACATATATTTGGGCATAACAACATAATGTGGCTCTCGATTATAACTCCAACACGTATAGCAAATAATTTGAACGGTGGTTATATTCTGTTCTGATGACCTATTTAACACTTTGTTGATCTGATATACACTCCGTGTAAGTCTGAACTCTAATGTAACATAAACATCTTTTAAATTTTTTATTTTCTTTTCCCTTTCAGGACGATAATTTTGGGTCGTATCTATTTTCTTCTGATCATATATGTAGGATCGGTTGCTTATGATTTTTCGCCTTGCAGTGGCTTACTTCGGCTGAAGTAATATTGATGTCATTTCGCTCTCATTTATTCGACGATGTAGGATAAGGTTATTCCCAAGATGTACTGATAAAGTCTTTACCGCATAATCTATAAAAGTTGCCTAAAACTTTTAGGAATAACTTTCTAAAATACTGCCGACGGGGAAAGGTTTAGGACCTTGTTCCTAAAATCTCTAGGCAATTTGAGAACTTTAAATGTTAATGAAATTGTTCTGATTTGTGACCGCATTGGACAATTAGCAAATACCTTTTAACAATTATTCAAGACTAAGGAAATACAAAAAAATGTTCGGCAATTAAATATTAATCATGCACAGCGACGGAATAAAAATATAAATTGGTTTTATTTTGGGTATAAGTGGTAGAGCTAGAGAAGTATCTACATCTAAAGGTGGAAGAGGTTCAGTAAAAAAAGAAAGGAAACTAACCACGAGAAGCCGAAATTAATATAACCTTGCAGTTTGCTATTGAAAAATAAGATGGAATTGGAAACCGACCATAACTGAGCTCAAAATATTCGCCCTCTTTGAATCCATATTTTATATGACATTTTTTTTCACAAAAATCCAAGTTTAAAAATCTCATAACTCAGCGAAACAGGCACTAATATCAATTCGGAAATTATTTATATTTTAGTTTTAATAAATTTTATAAATCTGCATACCAAATTTTTAATTTAAAAAAAATTCGAAATTTTTCAAATTTTTGACAATTTTAACGATTTTTGAAAAAAATCGGTTCGGCTTTTAATTCTGATCAAGAATATATATGATTTATAGGGTCGAAAAAGAGTCCACATCGTTACAAGCATCTGACTAAAAATAGAATACCCTTGGAAGGGTATAAAAATAAGGAAGTTAATAATTGTATCTATTAAAATTCTTAAATTTTCTTATTATAAATATAAAGTTAACAAAGAAAATTATGATCATCGGGGTGGCCATGCTCTTTTGAACCCTTTTAAATGCAAAACAAACTTCGGAAAAGAATTCTTAAATCAACAGGACTGCCCGAAAATCCTTTATAATTCCCCGGCGACGTTCCGATCCTGATTATTTACGACATGGCTTCATCGGGCCGGGAATGTACCCATACTCCGATCCTATATTATATATCTGTGAGAATGTGGCTTTCTAATGCGATAATTCAAGAGATTTACTTCTGTCAACATGACCATTTTGTAGCCGTTCGCTTGATTTCGATTTCGATAGCCACTTTTTTCGGGGTGGAAATGTGAAAATGTGTGGCAGGCACAGTGGCCTTTGACCTTTTTGTGCCTTTTTTTTGGTGCGCTTCCATCTTTGGTGGCACAATGGATGCTGCTGGCTGCCTGCTATTTTAATTTAAAATGGCAGGACTCGTAACTCATTTTTACGACGCACCCTCCGGGCAGATGAATGTATCTATAGCCACGGCCTGTCCTATTTTTACGTATCCTTGCAGGGGTTGCTACAATAACTTATCTGACTCTCAGCCCGACTTCAACCCGAGTCCATAATCGCTCCTGGGGTGCTCTTTGTTGGGACTTTTGTGAGACTGGCTGGCTGCTAGCTATCTTTAAGCAGTTTCCCATTGTCTGGCATCGTTTTGTGGTGCCCGGGCGAGATGAGAGTATAAAAATTTGTACAGAAACTTAATTCAACAAAAGGGGCAAGGTCGATTCCCCTCCTCGATTCTCTGTCAGAATTGCGCACTTCATTTCAGGCAGCGTGAAATGAAATTACTCCACGGTCCATTCCCAACTGACGACTTCATCTCGCAACGATTCGTGCGAAATTATCAATGCACCCTGGAAATTAGAAACACTTTGAATTAAATTCGAATAAAACGTTTTCCAAGGCACCAGGTCACTTTTCATAATTCACATTTTATGATCTTGTCAGGGCGGCTACAGCTACCATTCCCATCTGTCCAGTGTTCACTGTAGTAATTCAATTAGATTGTGCCGCCAAAAAATCTGAACTTGAGACAAGGTCTCAAATAATGACTTTATTTGGTAAATACTATAGATATTTTTATTTATTAATTTTATAATTATTTAAAATGTTTCTACATTCTCGTTGACGTATATTTCGATGAAAATATATATTACAATTATTAAAAACACTTTTCTAGAATTGTCTCAATTAATAAACGACACTAATATAATTTACTTCAATTCGAATGGAAAACTTTTAATGTATATTTTACTACATTAAGTATTGGTGAAATACTTCATTGTATGTAATATTCTAAAATTATATAATATTTTAGGCCAGCCAGGTTGATCTTATAAATAATATAACACTTAAAATGTCTTTTAGAAGCATATATTTATCAGCAACTCATATAGGTATATTAAAATTATTATACAGCTGTATGTTTGGATTAAATACAAACTTTATTTAATTATAAGAATGTGTAAAATGTGAAGGTTCTATAAGTTATAGAAATACCATTTCTTATGGGTTTCGAATGTGACTATTCATTATAAGGAAAAAAAATACTTTAAGCTTTTTTAATTACTTTAAAATGTAAGAAATGATTTACTAAAATCATCAAAATCATTATATAATTCTGGACGATTTTGTGTACTTTCAGTTCCCGACGGCTCTTGAGAGAAATGAGGGAAGGGAGAACGGAGAACCGAGAACAGAGAACCCAGAAGGCTGGAGAAAGAGCTCCTCCGCCTCAAAATTCTCACTCAAACTCAAACTGGCCGAGGCCAAGCCCATTTTCCTGTTCATGCTGCTGACGTCGACGACCGATTTTAGTGGTGTTTTTGCTGTTGATGAAATGCCGCACTGAATTCTTTTTTTTTTTGTGCCCTGTTCAACCACCAAGCCACATTTCCAGTTTCAACTCGCAGCGGCGCAGACGTCGCTTGACTTCACCGGATGACCGATTTCTTGAGAAAATAAGAAAAGATAATAAACCCGAAGGAAAAAGAAATACAGAACAAGTACAGCACAACCTGAAGAAAATTATAAAAAGTAACCTTAACTAAAGTTAGTTAACAACTACAACTGTATTTGGAATGAAACAGGAAATAAATGGAAATATTAAAATAAATATTCTACTTGAGGTGCAGCCTATTTGCGCCAGATGGCGACACTGTGTTGCAAGCGCCCTCTATGGCTTTGTGTCAAGGCTAGTTTGAGGGTCACTTGCTTCTGCTGCAGTTTTAAAGCCACTGTTACTCCTTTGAAGTTTGAAACCAGTTTGAGAGCAACAGAAATGGCTGACTCCGAAAATTCGTTTTCTTTCATATAATAAATTTATTATTTACTAAAAAATGATATTTATAGAGCTTTTTTAACTACTTTCTGCGATATTATATTAAATTTGATTAAATTTTAATGTTACACCATGCAAACTAAAAAAATATCAAATATGACTTTTAACAAACTTTTAACAATCATTGGCTTCTTGGCCAAGAGAACCTAAAGTGTGGGTAAATCGCAGTTTTAAAAATATCATAATTAAACCAAAAATACATTAATTTCAATTCGGAATGCATTCCCGTATTAATTTTTATAGCGTTAACAAATCTTCATATTAAGTTTTTCAATTTTACAAAATCCATTTTTTGTCAAATTTTGAAAATTTTAATGATGTAACCCTTTATAAAACTTTCAAAAAAAGCTACAAATTTTTAAATTTTATTTTTCAACCGGGCATGGCTAGATCGACTCGCCTGTCGAATCTGATCAAGAATATATGATTTATAGGACCGGAAATGATTCCTTTACTATTTTCTAAGCTTCTGACTAAAATTATAACGCTAAGCAAGGGTACACAAATTAAAAGACTTTTGCTTTAGCTAAATATTATTTAAACAGGGAATATAGTAATAGTTTACAGCTTGCCACTATTTATTCTTATATATAAGAAAATAATAACAAACTAGGATGTTTCTGTAATTTAATGATTTATCAATAAACAATAACCTTATCACTGGAGTTTCGAAAAACTAAAGTTCATATATTACTCAGAAAGTCATTATTACTTAAGACTATATATATTCTTTTTATTAAATTCCAATTAATTAAAATTCCAAATTTATTTAAACACAAATACCCCAACCCCCCCAAAGGAATTTCTATCCATACGATACACAGAAAACACTTTCCTTGCGAGTCCTCCAATTAAATGAACCAATTTCGTAGAAGGTATTTTCCTGCTTTTATTTATATTGCCTCATTCTGGACTTGGCCACTTCTCTTAACGATCGACGGTCTTGTTAAGGGGTCAACGGAGCATATTGCCAATCAAAGGCTTCAATTCAATTTCCCCGGCTTTTCCAGAGACTCGCAACTCGATAATGGCAATGGGATAAAGCCAAGTGCGGGTGTTGCAGCGCAAACGATTCCATCCAAAATCGGAGCAATCAAAGCATCAAGATGTCAGTAAACGCGGTTAAGACAACAAAATTACTTTGAGCATCGTTAGGGCCACGATTCCCGGCTCCACAGTGTGGAAACACTCGATGTTTTTTTGCGGAGAGGAAATAAGAGGGAAAAACATGAAAATCATCTTTCAACGCGATGCGCTTTCGACATTTGCAACCATGGAACAGAACACACCAATCGCAATCAGGTGAAGTGGGTACAAGGGGAGAGCACACATGTGAAGTGAAGAAAAAATCCTGAAAAAATCTGTAAAATAATAAAAAAGAGAAAATGCAGCCAGAGCAGGGACAGCCAGCAAGTGCAAGGGAATCGAAACCAAAGGAGGCAAAGACCGCTTTTCATTTGGCTGCCGGCAATGTCCATGGCGGAGCATCCAGTTAAGATTCAACTGGTTTTTAGCCCAGTATTTCCTCTGACTCTTACTTAGGAGGAGGCTTGGGTTCTTCTTAAGAGACTATAGGGTTTTGCAAACTCTGAATACTTGGAAAATTAGCAAAGAAATATAGTTTTATTGAACCTTTAACCGTCTTACTTTAAGTTTTGTTCTTTTCTTTTTAAATTAAGCTTAAATTAAGCGTTAAATAATTGGTATATTATAGTAATTACCCTTTAAACATATAAAATATTTACTAAAGATTATATTTCTTTAAAATATTTTATTTTTATTACTTAGTCTTTACAGTTTTCCCCTTTTTTGTGCCACAGTTCAAGTCTTGCAGGAAGTCTTTGGGCAATGCCTTTGTCTTGGCGGTCTCTCCTACATAATCTCCGCTTGCAGAATCCACCCACCCACACCAAACACACACACACACCCAAAAACCCACCTCCCACGCTCCCCCTGACCCCTGACCCCTTGCAAACTAATACCCCTTCCGACGCCCATGAATGCTACTCCTCCATCTAAG